CTAAAAGGTGTCTTCGGGGGAGGAGGGATCAGCATAATACTGATGGTTAAAAGCAGGCTACGTTGCATAGACTAATACGGGGCTTTCTGCTCTCCTGATTTCCCGTGCGCTGCACTGGAGGATGGGGAAAGGCTGGGAACCCAAAAGACAGAGGCAAAAATGGAGCTATCCCGTTGCCTTGCTTGCCTAACCATTTTTAGTGCAGCATTCATGGCCTTAGCCATTCTGTAGCTGCAGCAAAGGTTAGTCCCAAATCCTGCAGCGAGAACTATCTCTGCGTTCCCTATACAGCAGGACTCTCAGAAGTCGAGGGAGAGTCCAGTACAATTTGAAATTGCTATGCAGAGCATTGGCCTGCATGTATTAATTAATAGATCCACTTCTGGATAGGAGTAGCAATGATTTTCATATTCTCTAACATCCCTGTTCCATTAGCTATTGGAAGCGTTTTTAAAACAGTGATTGTTTCTATCTACTTCATCCATAAGATTTACAGTTTCCTCACTGATAAAGAAAACAGGATTTTTTAACCAGTGCAGTTAAATATGTCCTTGCTGTATAATTCTATCTCCTTCAAGACATTTGAGATTTTTCTTTACCACAATTCAACATATCATTTTTCTAGCTCTATTTTCCCACACAGATCTGAAAAACAAACATTGTAATGGAAACCCCACAGAAATTTGATGTTATTAAATTTCCCATGTTCAAACATAATAATGTAAAATATAAGGTGCCTGTATCAATTTACATTCACCAGGTGTTCGTAATACTTTAGGAATATAATTGTGAACAAAAGACAAATTGGATTTTACCAGCTCTTCTTCACAGTATACCTCAATGTGAGATAAAATATTCAAGGTAGTTATTTTTTGTTCAAATATGCTTAGTAACATGAGAAGCATAAAGGATTTCAGTAAATGCTATATTTAATTTCTCAAAAGGTGTGAATTCTGAAACTAGATTATTATCCTATAAAGACGAGAAGTTGGGAGCACTCTATTTTACAAGCACTTTTTCACACATTATCTAATTTTCATGGCTTCCTTTCAAAAGGAAGACTTAGTACATACCAGAGAGCATTTATTTCTTGCAGATGTATATTGACTACTTGTTATTTACAGAGCTCCACGGTGATGTAATTGGAGTTTTGTCATTGCAACGCCTGGACTAGTTTAGTGTCAATAATATTTAATCTAATTCTTTACAATCGACATGGCATATCCACACAAGGCTCCTGAAGAGTACAGTGAAATCAAAACCCCATTTTAAACAGCAGAAAGCACCATAACTCAAAGAGTTCAAGTTACTTGTGTGCGACCACACAGTTAACAAGTGGAACCTGAACCCGGAACCTCTGGTGCTTTTTAAGACCCTTCACCATCCTGTCCTAATTTCCTTGCTTAAGAAATACAGACTGTCATCTCATTCATTACCTTCAATAGTCAGTATGGCTTTTACACATATGAGCAGGGATAATTATAGACCACATTTCAAATGTCCCGGGACACAATCATGTGAATAACAACTAAATTTAAAGCAAAATGTCTTTTAGAGGCATATGAAATTTGAAATCCAGAAAAAAGAAATATAGTTAAATTACATTATAAAAACAAGATTTTACTAATAAAATTCTGATTACCATACCTTCAAAAACATTCACACTTTAATTACCTGGCATGCTTTATTTATATGTTATATGTTCAACATCTTCCCTATAGACCAATTCTATGAAGAAGTTTAGAACTTTGACAGCAGTTGGATGAAGAGTCCTCCAGTATTGAGAGAAGAAAAAACATTATACAAATTCTACTTGTGAAAGTTAAGATTAAGATCAAGTTAGTGTAATCATATTACTGCATCTATGGCTTGCCATACACTGGTGTATGCAGTTGTTCTTACCTGTGCACGGAATGCTTCTCCTCCAGGGATCCTACTGGATCTCATTCTCACTTCCTTCAGTGTTTGATCAAACATCAGCCATCCTTTCAACTGGTACCTTTTCTCGCTGCTTTGTATAAAAGCATAACCCCACTCTCAGAACTATCTATTTTTCTTACTTTACTATGTAGCACAGTCTAACATTAACATCCTATATATTTTATATATTTGTTTTATCTAGTGTCTGTCTCCTCTTATTAGCTCCATGGAGCTAGAGGTATTGATCTGTTTTTCTCATTGTTGTATTCCTAGTATCTAGAAAAGTGGCAGGCACCTGGTTGATGTTCAATAAATACTTTTCTTACACAAAGAAGAAGGAAGGGAGGAAGGAAGAAATGAATGAAAGAAGGAGAAGAAAGAAGGAAAAACTAGAAGGAAGGAAAGGAAGGAGGGAGGAAGGCAAGCCAAAAGATGTATAAAAGAACAATAGCTTGCACATTACCTCTGTAAAAAAGTACCATTGGTAGCATCGACTCTGAATTCCTGCTATTAATTAATGCCTCTGGCTATTACTGACAGATCTGGATTACAAAAGCATTCAGGAGAGAAGAAAATAAAATAAAAGAAAGAAGGCTCATGAAAGAAAGAGAAATAGTATAAACAACAAATCAGAACTGGCCTTGGCAGTTGGGATTATTATGTTTGAACCTCATGAGTCATCTTTGAGGCAAGGAAACTTGAAGCTTGCCAAAGGATGCGGAGAAATCAAGCTGAGAGACAGTGATAGCCCAACACTCAAAGAAGCCTAAGGATAGAGAGATAGTGAGAAGCAGGGTAAGGTATACATTCAGGTTTTCTAGTGCCCAATTCTATGATTTTTAAAGTTATCTGCAAAGAAAATAATGAAGAATAAAGGAGGGAAAATAAGTCATGTATCACCTCAAAATATTTGTCAACATACTTTTTGGCAGTATCATAATTTATACTGGTAAAGGTACTTTCATTTACATTTGAAGAATAATTTACACATTGAAAAGCTATTACCTAAAAAGGCACTACATCATTTGCATTAAGAGACAATAGGACCAGGAGTGTTGGCTCACACATGTAATACTACCACTTTAGGAGGCCAAGGCAGCAGGATTGCTTGAGTCCAGGAGTTGAAGACCAGCCTGGGAAACATACAGAGACCCCCATCTCTACAAAAACAAAAAATTTAAACAGGGGTGGTGGTGGGTTCATATAGCCCCAGCTACTCAGGAGACTGAGGCAGGAGGATCACTTGATCCTCAAACTCAGTAGTTTGACATTGCAGTGAGTTATGATGATGCCACTGTACTCTAGCACAAGTGACAGAGAAAGATGCTGTCTCAAAAACTTAAAAATGAAAAAAAAAGAATGACAATAATATATATATATATATTAATACCACCATTTCAATTTTTAGGAGTTTATATAAGAAGAATAATGAAGGAATTGTACAGAAATATAATAAGTACATTTATTTACTTCAGCTTGGCACATGCAGTATGAGATGGAAACCTTTCGCTGTATGAACAATAAGAACAAATAAGATACGCCAACAACAATCAAATTGAGAACCAAATTAAAGACTCAATTCCCTTCACAATAGCAACAAAGAAATTAAAGTACCTAGGAATATACTTAACCAAGGAGGTAAAAGACCTCTACAGGGAGAACTATGAAACACTGAGAAGGAATAGCAGAGATGAAACAGATGGAAATCCATTCCAGGCTCGTGGGTCAGCAGACTCAACATCATTAAAATGTCTATATTACACAAACTGATCTACAGATTCAATGCAATACCTATTAAAATCCCATCAGCATTCTTCACAGATATAGAAAAAATAATTTTATGCTTCGTATGGAACCAAAAAAGACCCCGAATATCAAAAGCAATTCTAGGCAACAAAAACAAAATGGGAAGTATTAATATGCCAGATATCAAACTATACTACAAAGCTGTAGTAATTAAATCAATCTGGTATTGGCACAAAAATAAGAATATTGACCAGTGAAACAGATCTGAGAATCCTGTTATAAAACCATCCTCATATAGCCATCTAATCTTTGACAAAGCAGACAAAAACATATGCTGGGGAAAAGAATCCCTTTTCAATAAGTGGTGCTGGGAAAACTGGATAACACTTGTAGAAGGCTAAAGCAGGACCCACACCTTTCACCTCTCACAAAGATCAACTCACGCTGAATAACAGACTTAAACCTAAGGTATGAAACTATTAGAATTCTAGAGGAAAAGTTGGAAACTCTCCTAGACATCAGCCTAGGCAAAGAGTTTATGAAGAAGTCTCCAAAGGCAATTACAGCAGCACAAAAATAAATACATGGGACATGATCAAACTAAAAAGTTCTGCACAGCCAAAGAACAGTCATGAAAGTAAACAGACAACCTACAGAATGGGAGAAAATTTTGCATCCTACGCATCTGATAAGGGGCTGATAACTAGAATATACTTAGACTCACGAAAATCAGCAAGAAAAAAATCAAATAACCCTATTAAAAAGTGGGCAAAGGACTTGAACAGAAACTTTTCTAAAGAAGACAGAAGAATGGCCAACAAACATATGAAAAAATGCTCAACATCTCTAAGCATCAGGGAAATGCAAATCAAAACCACAATGAGATATCACTTAACTCCAGTGAGAATGGTCTTTATCAAAAAGTCTCCAAATAACAAATGCTGGCGTGGATGCGGAGAGAGAGGAACACTCCTACACTGCTGGTGGGACTGCAAACTAGTTCAACCTCTGTGGAAAGCAATATGGAGATACCTTAAAGCGATACAAGTGAATCTACCATTTGATCCAGCAATCCCATTGCTGGGCATCTACCCAAAAGATCCAATGACACTCTACAAAAAAGACACCTGCACTCGAATGTTTATAGCAGCACAATTCATAATTGCAAAGCTGTGGAAACATCCCAAGTGCCCATCAATCCAAGAATGGATTAATAAAATGTAGTATATTTATTGAAACCTTAAAATTTGTACCGCCATAATATGCTGAAATAAAAAAAAAAGAAAAAATAAGATATCTGGAGTTATTAATAAGAGAAAATTAGAAGGACTTACCTAAAACTTTGCTGTAGTATGAATTCCATGCTCCCCAGTAGGATTGAAATATGTAGTCTTGCAGTGGATACGATATGGTATTTTTAACCCTTTCACCAAAGGTCATGTGATCAGTGAGCTCTGACAAGGCTGCAGGTACATATGAGATTGGCGCTGGGATTTTCCCACAGTGTCTCTCTACTGTTGAGGCGGGAGAGAACCTCAAGGTGTACATAAATGGAATTCCTAATTTCAGAGCAACCAGTTCACCACAGATTGTTACTGGGTCTGCTACCAACACATCAAAACCACCTTTCTGAAGTCTTGCCATTAACTTGGGGTTGTTTAATACGCCATCACAGATTTGTATATTAATTCGAAAAAAAGTGTCTAAGAGTTTTCCTAGTTCTTTGTAGAAAGTCCACAGTGTAAGAGGAGTTGGTCTGTGGTCTGTCCACAGCATTATCATATGTTCAATTAAGGCATCTATATCACTTTTCTTAAAAAAAATAGGTATCTCTTCAAAATTCACAGGAGAATTCAGACTGGAATTGATGAATAGAGTTGCTGATGAAGCCAGTACAGTCACATTGTGATTTCTTTGAGTCAATTCTTCTAGAATGATCTTAATATTTAACCAATGGCTACCATCTGTAGGCCAAATTAGCACATTCCCACTTAGAATAATTTCAATCAGAGTCAAATTAAAAACCAGCCATTGAACAAACTTCTTAGACATGGTGATATCCACTATGGAAACCATCCTTATGTAGCTCTTTTAAGATAAGAAGAAATCTTCAAAGCACATTTGGGTAGATTTTTTTTCAAATAAAATAATATGTAATGATATGGTTACACTCAAACATAGGTTAATTAATCTACAGTTTAAAAGAAAAACAATATAATTCAAATTCTTATATGGATTAGCATGATTATTTCAACAACAGAAATGAAATCTGATCCTATTTTTTAAAAAAGAAGCAGGCAGGTAATAAACCTAGTGTCTGTATCTTCAGTAATAATAACTATGAATTATACAATGTGTCTTCAATATAATATAGCTTTCTCAAAATTAGACTAAAAGAAAAATAATAATCTTTTACTGAAAAAAGCACATTGTCAAAATTAGGGTACTTTCAAGTTGCATGTCTCCATTATCAGGGATTTTTGCATAGATTATCTTATCCAGTCTTCATCATGATTTTGTGTGGCAGAAGTCATTTCCTTCATTTCATGGATAACAAAACCACAGATGAGTTGAATATACAAAAGCATATGACAAAGTAGAACAAATGCATTATAATAAAAAACATCACTGGACTCATTGCTGGACCATCAGTATAACTTCCTCATGGTTCATATTTAGAAAGAAAAATTAAAAAGAAAAACAAAAATGCTTCACTATGAGGTTTGCTCAAACATTTTAAGATATTTTAAATTAATTGGTTTATCGAGTAAATTGCTATACGTGTGATAGAGGAAAGGGTTCTTCTCTAATACTGCAAATTAGTCAGTGTCTCCTACCCTATTGTGACAGGGAATTTTTTCGTTTCTAACATATGAAATTTTCATATACAAATCAAGGGGACAGGGTCTGCCACCCTGAGGGATCAAACCCTGACGCTTTTTAAAAAATTTTAACTCACAGCTCTGTGGTATATTAAATTAGGTAGACACTGGAGTTCAATTTCCCCAAATTCAAAAACAGTCCTTTTATAAGATATGTGACCTTATATGTCAACCCTCTCATCCTCAGTTTTCTCAAAGGAACATGAGAGATAATTACACTAATCTGTTATATCATTTTGTAGATTATCAGTAATATTTGCAAAGCTACTTTGAAAACTTCTTTGTTAAAAACAAAAATGTAGTATTTTAGTAGTATAATAAATTTGCCCAAATGTTGATGGTAAATCAGTGGGCCCCCTATGGAACAAGTGGGCAGGCATGGCTGTAGTGATATCAGTTGTGGATCCTAGTGGAACCCGAACTAAAGAATTGTAATTATATAATGATACTATTTTTAAGTCATTAGAAGCTACCATTCAAATGAGAAATAAGAACAAAGTAAGTGATTAGAAGGATAGAAATCAGAAATTAAGAATAAAAATTAAGTAGTGGGTTTTTGTTTCATGTACAGTTGCCCTTGAATGGTGTAATTGCAAGCCCTTGAATAAGAAAAGTACCAGGTAAACAAAGAAAGGGAGAGAGGGGAGAGAGAAGTAGTGCTTTGAGATTTATTGCATTTGTGCCCTTTCCAGAGTCAGCTTCGATTTGAACATAGCGGCTGTGCCTTTGAAATGAATTAGAGTTTTGAAACAAAACAGCCACAGAAGACTTTAATCTTGATGGCCATTAAAATAAGCCTCATTAAGGGAATTTCTAATAATATCTTTGTAAAGAAATCTGTGGCTGTCATGAGCTTATAATAAAAGATAAGGACAACATCATACAAGGCATAAACAGAAGTCTATCTGTAAAATATTTAGACTTGTTCAACTATTGAGGTACACATAAGCAAAATATAATACTGAATTATGGATTGATTACCCACTAATAATTACCAGGATGGTACTTAAAAGCTTAGTCTCACATCAGTGCTTCAGATTTATTTGACTTTCTTGATTGACATTTACTTAATACTTTGAAAGCTTAAATTTAGACGTACCTTCATATTTTTGTTTGTTTTAATACCAGAGTCTGACATCAAATGATTCACTATTTTCTAGAGCGTAACCTCAGGCAAGTTGCACAGCCTCCTCATTTACGAAATGATGAGAACAATGACACCTTTTTCCTATACTTGTGAGGACTAAGTGAAATGACACGTGTGAATTATTCAGAACAGCATCTGAGCTCAATAAATATTAGCTGTATATGATAGTATAGGAAGAGAATCTTATTATTTTAATGATCGAATTAGTCAGATCTCACTGCCTTAACCTTCCTCCCCTCCTCCCACAGTGGCAGATGGGGGCGCTTAGGCAGAATTTGGGAAATTTGATGCAGAATTTCCCAAACTATGAGTTTTCCAAAAAAAGTCAGTCTTGCTCAGTATTGAGGTACACATCACAAGTGATCTGTTATTAACAATGTGTAGAGTACCAAAGTCCACAAATGATTTACTTTAAGAAATATACAGATATAATACTCAAGATTATACTAATTAAAATGGCAACCTACATTTCCTTTTTTTCTGATACACTTTCATAAGTGGGAGCAAAAAAAGATAGGATGATTGCCATCGATGGGAATTTTTGATGTCCCACAGACAATCCCATCTCCAGTGAAATGCCTGTGGCTCTCACCTTATGGGTTATAGTAGAAAAAGGAATGCCACCAGAGGGTCTTTTAAAAGATTCTGACCATTCAAGACTAACTTAAATGGTTTTAAAAATGAGAGAGGGTGAGAAGAAGGAAAGAGAGGAGAAAGCAAGGGAAAGATTAGCAAGAAGGAGAAAAAAGAGAGACAAAGAATGACCCAAATAGAAATTATTATTCTTCAGGAAAAGGACTCTAATATGTTGTTTCCTCCTTTAAAATTACTACTGAAAATCAAGCACAATCAATACATTTCTAGAACTTTATTTTACATTGTGCTCAGTGAGCTTCTAGTTTATGCTGGATATAAGGGTCATTCTTTTTGAAGATCTTCTGGTTTTCCTATTTAATTGAATATATTTGCAAGAAGGTTTATTGTTATTATAATGTCATTAGCTCCTAGAGATTATTCACCTAGTTATTTATTTATAATAATATTATAGATTCTTACATATTTATATAAATCTAATATACAAATATTATTCACAAAAAATATACTAGTTATTATAGGGTAAATCTCTGTTTGTAACAGTATGTAATGCTTATGGATTATAAGTATTATAAGTACATTTTATATTTTAAGTATATAAGCATTTTTACTGTCGTAAGAATGTTACATTATTCTCTCGTTAAATGTGCCCAAAATTTTGGTAGCTTTTTTTGTTCATATGAAAACAAAACCAAACTTTGCCTGGTTCGATTTTAAGCATACATATTTGAAATCTGCTGAAGACTTTTCTTTCTTACCTTCAGTTAGAGGTTGCTTATGAAACTGTCTTAGAGGCAGAAAGATATCCCCAGACAAACCACCCCAGACAACAGTCACATGGAGACCTACACCGTAAGGAATAGTTGCCTAGTAATAACATAGCCCAGTTAAATTCCATTCAGAAAATCAAAATTAGGCAAGAAATAGAATAACAGATTCCCAAAGCTAAATATATTGTCAAGCAGAAAAGTATCAATTAAAGGTTTAACCTAAAATATTCTCAGTAATGAATAGATGTCCACCTGAAATTTTACAAAGAGAATAAAAAATTTCCAGAACTAGGAATATGACATAGAAGCTTTGGTATAAGAAAAATTTAGGTTGAATACTGTTTTCTCAAATTAGTAGTTGCATGATTTTAACATGCTTGATATTTTCAAGCCTAAGTATTCTCATCTTGATAACAGGTTTTTTTCCTCCAATAATCTGAAAAAAGGTCATTGCAAATATTAAGAGAGAATGCAAAGAAAGTGATAGCATCCATGGGTTTGAGATAAATACCCATGATCTGAAACAAAATGAGTAACTTCAATATTATAATATCCAATTCCTAGCAATTAGCAGAGATTAAGGACTCATTCTGAGGTTCTGATTGCAACCCACTGCAGTGAGGTAATCTTAGGGCAGTAGGTCTATGTATTTACTCAGGTATGAAAATTTGAGAACTGAGTATACATGGATTTGTTGCAATAGTTTTGATTACAGCATTTTAAGCAAAAGTAGAAAATCAATCCAAATTGTAAATTGGATGACATTGCTTTTACAAGTCAGTTTCATTTATCATTCTCATTTTTCATCCCACATGTACAAAGTCTTGCACAAAAAATGAGTTACTCCATCATCTTGGTAATTTCATTTCTTACCTGACCTTTTGAATGTAAGTGCTCGGGCCCCTGGCATCGAAAAGAATATTGCATTTTAGGGAAGACAAATTTAAGTAGTCATTCTAAGACAAAGGAGTGTAATTTGATTAGAAACATGATATATCACAGTCGGAGGGGAAGAACATCTCTATAAATCTTCATTACATGCTCATGAACAAATTGTTAAGAAAGATTAGTCTCACATCTTAAGACTGGGAGAACAATGTGCTTTTATTACCAGCATTAATTTACAGGCAAAATCCACTGGGACAGGTGATTCTGAGACTGCCAGCTTGGGGAAGGTTAACTGGTGGATAGCCTCACAAATATGAATAAGGAGCACCATAATAGTGAGAATCACAATCCCAAGGTGGAAGATGAGTAGTTGAAAGAAACAGAAGTGATGGGCTAAAAATGTAAACGTATTGTGACCAAGGAACAGTCCATGTACGTTTTGCTCTTACATGAACTAAGGTACTGCACACACTGAGAAGTCACTGCTATCTGCCACATGCATGAAGACATGGGGGCGGGGTTTTCAGTCTTGACAGTTTCATTGCTTCACACCATTTTCAGTTTTTCCTCTTCTTTCTTCATTGTTATTAAGATCCAGCTTTAGCCCTATGCTGTTTCTTTTTTACTATTATTTTCACAGGACACATGCATGTTTATCTATAATTGTATTATGCTCTTTTTCTCCCAATGACAGAAAAACTAGGTCTTCTTTTACATCCAAGAAGAAATAAACTCTGTTTTTGAATTTGGGGCAAGCTAGTTAAACATACTCAGAGGAGAAAATGACTTTTTATCAGTGTTAGTTTAGTTACAAGAGGCTCAGCAGGTTTTGATCATATTCATTCACCCACTTTTAGTATCTCACATCCTCATGCACAGATTAATCTACCCAAATATATTTTGATTTATATAGATCAACTTTACAACTTTGTAAAATAAAGGTTTGTAGAAAAAAAGTCAGTATGTCAATAACTACCATTACACTGGAACCTCAAATTTTTCTCTTTCCAACATTTATGGAACCCACTTTTTGCACATTGCACTTTATCATCTTTAAATGATTTTTAATAGCATTTAGGATTCTCATTCATTAACTAGTAATCTCTAGGCCTTGCAAGTTTTGCATAGAAACAATATTGGCATTTCTGCAGTACATACATGAAAATGTTCGATTCTTTAAATATGGTTTGAATCTTGGTTTTATTATTTCACTAAAATAAATAAAAGCCCAAAAATCAATTTGTTAATGTTGATGATATATTAAAGCCTCAAAACTTAATAACAGTCTGGAAGAGGGGGAGAGGAAAATTTGAGATTAATAAATGGGTACAAATATATCATTAGAAGAAATATGACCTAGTATTTAATAGTCACTGTATCAGTAGAGTGACTATAGGTAACAATAATCTATTGTACGTTTCAAAGTAGCTTGAAGAGAATAATTCAAATATTCCTAATGTGAAGAAGATAAAAATATTAAAGATGATGGATATTCCAATTACATTCATACATTATATCAAAATATTATATGTACCCTAAAAATACATACATCTTTTATGTATTAATAACAAGTTTAATAAAAGCCAGAGAAATACCACCTGTCAAAAGTAGAAAACCTTCCACCTCTATCTGTTTATCATTGAGTTTAGGTCTGTATTTTTGAGGTTTATCATGGAAATAAAGTAAAATATTAAATACACAATGTCTGAGATCATATATAAACTATGAGCTGTAACAGAATTATGAAATAGCTACTTGGGAAGATAATCTACCATGTAAGTGCATTTCTTGGACAATTCCAGTAATATGTTAGGTATGGAAGCAGAAACATAGCAAACAACTGCATGCAATAGGAGAGCAAAAAACAGAAATGAAGTTACCATCAGAAAGACATATATGTATTATCAAAAAAAGATGATAAAGCCTTAAAGTGTTTTATTTGTTTAGCAGTATTAATGTTTATTAAGCAATAATCAGACATTATCAATATATATTATATTCTTAAACAAATACATACATGTTAATATTAATAATAGGTTTATAGAAAGTTTAATCTCTCCCAGCTTTCTCCACACACTGCTAAAGTTTCTAGACAATTTGTGTTTTCAATGTGATATCTATATCAGGTCCAGTCTTATTTTTAAATTAAGGTATTTCACTATATTTTATCCATAAAAGAACCTGGATATAAAATTATCCTCATAAAGCCCTCTGATCTGTGACAAAGCAGACAAAAACATACACTGGGGAAAGGAATCTTTATTTAATAGATGGTGCTAGAAAAATGAATAGCCACATGGAGAAGACTGAGACAGGATCCACACTTCTCACCTCTCAAAAAAATCAACTGATAATTGATAAAAGACTTACTCTTAATGCATTAAACCATAGAATTCTAGAAGAATATGTTGGAAAATCTCCTATAGACCTCAGCCTAGGGTAATAATTTCTGAAGAAGATCCCCAAGGAAATCATAGTAACAACAAAAATAAATAAATCAGATCTGTTCAAATTTAAAAAGCTTCTGCACAGCCAAGGAAATTGTCCTTAAATCAAATAGACAGCCTACAAAATTGGAGAAAATATTCACATTCTACACAACTGATAAAGGACTGATAACTAGAACCTATATAGAACTCAGGAAGATCAGCAAGAAAAAATCCAACAATCCCATTAGAAATTGACAAAGGACATGAACAGACACTTTTCAAAAGAAGACAGGCTAATGGCCAACAAACCTATGAAAAAATGCTCAACATCTCTAATCATCAGGGAAATCCAAATCAAAACCACAATGAGATATTACTTAACTCCAGTGAGAATGGCTTTTATCAAAAAGTCCCAAAATAACAGATGTTGACATGGATGTGGAGAGATGGGAACACTCTTACACTGCCAGTGGGACTGCAAACTAGTACAACCTGTATGGAAATTAATATAGAGATACTTCAAAGAACTCAAAGTAGAACTACCATTAAATCCAGCAATACCACTACCAGATATTTACCCAAAGTAAGAGAAGTCATTCTATAAAAAAGACATCTGCACTCAGATGTTCATAGAAGCACAATTCACAATTGCAAAGCTGTGGAAACAACCAAAGTGCCCATCAATACATGAGTGGATTAATAAAATGTGGTATGTGAATACCATAGAATATTACTCAGCCATAAAAAATGATGAACTAGTACCCCTTGTACTATCCTGGATGGAGCTGGAGCGCATTCTTCTAAGTGAAGTATCCCAAGAATGGAAAAACAAGCAGCACATGTACTCACCAGTAATTTGGTACTAATTGATTAACAGTTAGGTGCACATATGGAAGTAACATTCAAAGGGCATCAGGCAGGTGGGAGTGGGGGGGAGAGGATAGGTAAATTCACACCTAATGGGTACAGTACATGAGGTCAGGGGGTTAGGCATATTTGTAGCTCCTACTTGGGCAGTGCAAAGGCAATATTTGTCACCAAAGCATTTGTACCTCTGTAATATTCCGAAATTGATTTTTTTTAAAAAAACAACTTAGTTGGTACCTTCACATTCATAAAATTAGAAAACAGCACCCTGTAGTTCTGAAGAGTAATGTCTTTTGCTTTCTTTTCTGCTATCAAGTGCTAGTAATATATAGTAGATTAATATGTGAAGTGATAAAAGAGTAGACACAGGGAATTGAAGAAGAGGTGACACATAGTTATGTTTGTTCAAATTCAAATAATAAAATGAAAATTGTTACCTACCTAAAGCTTTACTGTAGTAGGAATCCCATTGTTTCCAAAGAGTTTCAAACATGTAGTCCTGTAGATGGTAGGAGATGAAGTTTCTTATTCTGTCAGTAAAAGACATCTGGTCGGTGAGTTCTGATAAAACAGCAGGAACATAGGAAGGAGGGTATGGGACCTTCCCACAGTGCTTTTCTACTGTTGAGGCTGGAGAAAACCTCAAGGAGTATATAAATGGAATCCCCAGTTTTAAAGCTACTATATCACCACAAGGAAATACTGGATCTGACACCAGAACCTCAAATTTGCTGCTTTTGAGCTTTTCCATCAGCTTTTGGTTTTTAAGAACACCATCACAGATCTCTCCTGACACCATGTGGAAGTCCTTGATAACTTTGGCCATCTCCTGATAGAATCTCCAAATGGTTGAAGGAGATGGTCTATTTTCCAGCCATGTCAAAACAAAGTTCTTGATGACGCCTTCTATTCTTTCTTTGCCAAAGGGCACCTTATAAATTTCAAACGAGAGAGATGGCTTAGAGGTTGGTGTGATAAAAAGTGCACCAGAAGCAACCAGGACGGTCACATTGTGTTCCTTTTTAATCAGCTCATCTATAATCATCTTAACATTTAGCCAATGACTACCTTCCATTGGCCAAATCAGAATATTCCCACCAAGAGTACTTCCTAGGAGACTCATCTGAAGAGACAACAGCAGAATCTTGTTTAGCATGATGTGGCTTGATGCAGAAGATTTGATGAGATGTGAAGCAAATGGGTCTCTTTGCTTTCAAGTAAAAAGGAAGACAAAAACATTATCAGTTTTGGTGAAAACCATTCATACCTTTTAAGAGCATTCTCTCAATCAAATAATATTAGTCAAATTAGCCCCACATTTTATGGCAATTGCAGGGTCAGGGGTAATGTGTTTTTACCTCTCACCCTATTGCTTTAACTCCTGCTCTCTAAACCTTCTCTCAAACTTGATCTTTCAACCCTTTCTTTGTGTCTCATAATTGTTAAATTCTTATCATTAAATTACATGAAGCCACTGTATATCTCAAGTCTAAACTCACACTTGGTTCTAAAATTTCAGATAGGACCAAAACTCATTCAGAAATGTAAGAATTTTAATTCTGTAAGTTTTTCAATATTTAATACTTTCATATAATTCAGATTATAACAATTAAATATCATTAGGAACATTATTATAGATAAGACTATTACAAAGAATATAAAAATGTGAAGTATTAATACATATACTAGATGTAATATTTATTACTATTTTAATAATATGTTTAGGAAAATATTTTATGTTAATCACTGAGAAAAAATATTATAAATAAATCAATAAAATATATACAGGTAATATACACAAAAGATTATGGCTAATGTTACTAGTGAATATGGGCTATTTAAAGAGAATTACTAATTCAAGCATTTTTCTACCAAAAGTGCTACTCAAAAGTTAGCTAGCCTGTGTGAATAACATCTACTCTACATCTAGACTCAGACTTTAGTGCTTACTAGCACTTATGAAGCCTTTGCTATATGTCAGACACTGTGTGAAGTGTTTTACATACGTTAATCTCATTTATTTCTCATTTTAAAGTAACAAATTGGGCAGGTACTATACTTATTCCCACATCAATGAAGAAGGAGCCACTGACAAAGAGATGGAGTCACTTGCCAAGTTCATATAGTAATATAAGACAGAAAATGGTGGTAGCACTCCCAAGTATGTCTGGCTTCCAGAGCCTAACATATCAAACATTAGGAGAGATTGTCCATCAGAGTGTACCATGTCCCCTTATTAACTGTAAGGGATCTATACGAACCACAGACTGCTTAAAACATGCTGACACAATATCAAATGTGTACCACACATTGGATGATATTAGATCAAGTAATCATGGCAAAATGATTTCTATGAAAATTGTGCATGTATATACATATATCTGTGAATAAACAGAGTGACTCTTTTTTGTTACTAAATCTCTTAAAACAAGAAATTCTATATTTTTAGTGATGTCATACAATTATCTCTTCTGAGTTCTCCTATCCCCAAAGATAATCTGTGAAGTGTTGGCTGTTTCATAAAAACGGTTACTTTTACAAAGTACTGTTAAAGCTTAGCAGAGAGATCACGCAATCACTGTGGATGGATTTCAAGGCTTTCTGGAGAAGATTTTATGGTGTGTACGTAATTTCTGCCTGCTGGTGTAGGCCTGGTCCACAGTTGCTTGACAGAAAACTTTAAAATAGTTATCAGGATCCACTAATATGGTCACTTGGTTATAATTCACTGTTGCCATTTTATTCATTTTATTTACTGGCAGAGAATCAAATCTAGTTTTAGATTCAGTTATCATGTGTAAGCACAGCACCCCCTACTAGGTGAAAGATGAATACAAAAGATTCATTTTATAGTCTATCAGTGGAACACAAGAAAAGTACATACATAATTGTAACAAAAATCAGCGTGGTAGAGTCAACATAATATTATGGAAATTATTATTATGGAAGTAATTTAGATTTTAGAATCCGTTAGGCCAAAGAATCCATTTAACATTATGCTGTTTAACATTCAATAGACTTGATCTTCTCATTTGTAAAATGGAAATGAAAAACAACATAAGAGGATTTTGTAAATATAAAGTAATACAATAAAATAAACAACATAATATTTTTAAATGTATAATATAAAAAATGACACCAGGCCTGGTGGCTCTTGGCTATAATTCTAGCACTCTGGGAGGCCAAGATAGGAGGATGGCTTGAGCTCAGTAGTTGTGGACCCAGCCTGAGCAAGAGTGAGGCCCCATCTCTACTAAAAAAAAAAAAAAAAAAAAAAAAAAAAAAAAAAAAAAAAAAAAAAAAAAAAATTAACCAGACATCATGACATGTGCCTGTAGTCCCAGCTACTAGAGAGGCTGAGGCAAGAGGATCACTCGAGCCCAGGAGTTTGAGGTTGCAGTGAGCTACAATGATGCCACCACACTCTACCCAGGGTGACAGAGCAAAGCTGTGTCTCAAAAAAAAAAAAAGTAACTATACAAATAAATATCATAAAATAGTATGTAATACGTAAAACATATAACAAAAAACATTTAAATAAATAAAATTATATTGATTAAGCAACAAGCATATTACCTGGAATAAAAGAGAGGTTTAACATTTATCTTTCTTATGTACTCCCTTCTTCTCCTAACTAGAGAAAATGACACTTGTCTTCAGATGAAATGACACAGGGAAAATGTTTTCAGAGCTCTGTAGAGATTGCTTTAAGGTTTCTTTTTGGGGGGAGTGGGAAATACAGTATGGGACAGAGAACAGGAAAGTCTTCGTGAGAAATGTGATATTTGGTGCCCATCTTGGAGTGTGGAGCACCCATATGATGATCAGTGGGCACAGAGGTATCCAGTATGATGCCACAATAAACTATGTTTTTTATACATGTCATAAATATGACCAGTATTAAGAAATTAAACTATTGGGGTGCAATTTTAGATTGATTGGTGTTTTTGAACTTAATAGAAAACTAAATGAAAAGTTATTTTGTCAAAAAAGTTTTAAAGAGTTTGTGAAAAACAAAAGTTTTTTTGCCAACAGTGTGGGACTGAACTTGTGATTTTATCTCTTCTGATATATCCTACAGGTAAGAAATAAATAAATAAACAAATTAATTAACTAATTAATTTAAAAATGAAAAATATGAACTTGTAATTTTAATTACTCTGATCTTAAGATCACTTGAAAGCTGATTGCTCTTGCCAGAAAATTTTTGAAAGAGACTATAGCTAAAAATCTAATATATTGGTGAAATCTAGTGAGTTCAGAGTAAAAGCTAACATTTGAAAGGAAGCTAGCATATTCAAATATTTTTATCATAGAGAATGATAATAAAAGATGTATTTTGTTTAATTACACACAGAGGGAGAGAACAAGGCATTTACATTACCAAAGCTGGTTATGGCTATTACAATAGAATTTTCTGCAGAGAAATTTTGTTTCCTATCCCTTTCTAAATAAGTAAATTAGATTTTGAATAAAATTTATTTGAGATATATGTTTAAAATAGATAAATACTTAAAATAAAATAAAATTTTTTAAATAAATATTCAAAATTCCATTACACAGTATTAAGAGAATAAGGAACCCACCAAAGATTGACATCTTACATCCTCTTATACACATGTTATTTTAAAGAGCTTAGTGGTCATTTGTGAGATTCATCTTGTCTTCACCCTATATCAGTATAAATTTTATTATTTGTTACTTTTTCTGTCAACTAATGAAGGAACAAATTCACTCTCCACTGGTAGGAACCAAAGATATGAGATGAAGCATTAAAGAGGCCAATGAGATCACACTTAGACAAAACTCTCAATTTTCTGCTCTCTCATACAGTTCCTTCAATTATTTATAAAATCATTCTGAAGTGTAAAATCTAGAAAATAAAACCCCTCAAATTATTTTGAAACAGAACTGAAATTTTTTTTCAATTGGAAGCATTGAAAAAAACCAAAAGTTAACCTGCAACCTTATAAAGATTAATGTTTCCTTTAGAGGAAAATAAAAAATAAGTCCAAATGTTTACATTATACATTGATTATCATGAGGTTTTCAAGTTTCTTACCTGAAGTTTCCTACTGGTACTTCATTTGACATTAGCACTCATTTGACATTATGAAAAAGTTGAACTTAAATAAATTCTCACTGGATAAGTATAATATGATGAGGAATATGATCTTAAATGGAGAAAAGATTATACAGATTTTTGTTTATACTTAGTATTCTCCACCCATTACATTATGAAGCACATTAACCTTTTGTTAAAGGCTTAACCATCTATTAGTTCCTGCCCAACTATTTGCTTTGAATTTGTCTTTGCTATCAGAGAATTTACTCCTCCCCAACAATGAAGTATATCTGAATGTATTTGAAATAATGACTGACAATAATTAATAGTCTTGGGGTGAGATGATTATTAAAAAGTATGTGAAATTAATATCTCTCAAACTTATGCAATATAAAATTATCTTATTAATTATACAGAGACTTTTTAAATGAGTGTCTTTTTATTTATTTATTTATCTGAACTTTATAATGATAGGAGAGAGTAGTTTCAGTGTTCTTTGCCATTTATTAAAAAGCTAGAAATTCGGATCAATAAATGTTTTAAAATTGTACACCTTCATTATGCAATATCCTTGAGAAAGCAAATTACTCTCATGTTTCTTTGTGCAACCAATACCAGGACTCATTCTTGACACTGGGAACCAGGGGACCAGGAAGCACCCACATAGACAAACCTAACAAAAGCACTTCCTTTTTCAAATTAAAGTTATCCTGAAAAGCAACTAACCCAACAGATCTGCAAACTTCTTATACATGCATATGAGGGCTGTCTGGAAAGTATCCAGCCTTCCTTAATAATATAATTTTTCATATTACATGACTGGGTACTTTCCAGACAGCCCTTGTGTACTATCCTTCTTTCTTCATCTTTTACAATGGGGCATTGTATTTTATCAATTAACTTTCTAGTATTTTGCTGGAATTAAATTATCTAAAACAACACAAAGATAAGTCTTTTAATGATTTCTCAAAAATAAGACATAAACAGTGACAATAAAAGTTTTGAAAGCCCTGAGTAATCAGCCCTTAGGATTCCGTCTCTTAGAAGGGACCTCCATAGAGCTCAGGGATATTTGATGCCAGACATAAACTGACTGACTTAATCCCCACTGACTGACTTAATCCCAATATCAGTTTCTT